CTCTCTCTCTCTCTCTCTCTCTCTCTCTCTCTCTCTCTCTCTCTCTCTCTCTCTCTCTCTCTCTCTCTCTCTCTCTCTCTCTCTCTCTCTCTCTCTCTCTCTCTCTCTCTCTCTCTGCATCTCGATTGATCTCTGTTCTGTTAAATGCGTTACTATTGAGCGCTGTAATAATATATAGTGGACTCATGAATCGCTGTCATATCATTACATATGCAAGGTTCGAGGGGAAATCAAGAAGCGCTGGCTGCGCTACCGACTACGGCGCGGCTTTCACGACCACGGCGGCTCGTTCGGCACAGCGCTGTCCTACATGGGCCGAGCCTCGAATAGAAACTCGATGACGTTGTCGCGCTGCGGCAGCAGCAGTCTCAACGGCATCATCCCCTACAACGGCGCAGGCGGCGGTGGTGGTCAGAAGAACCCGCGCGTCCGCGACAGTCCGAAGGCGAGGCGGGAGGTCGCCGAGCTGGTCACCGTAGAGGCGACGATCGACTGCAGCATTGACGTCAGCCGACCGATGATAACGAAAGGTGGCGACACGGTGCGGCCGCTGCAGCAGCCGGAGAGCTGCGTGTGACTGCTGCGCATGCGCGGCCGCGATCCTGGATGGCGTGGGATGTACACTCAAAGCGCCGGCAGCGGCGACGGCGGTGGTGTAGACGTTGGCGGTGCGGCGCCATGTTGGGACCCATTGTCCGGCACAATATAAATATTTACGACTGTCGCATGTGTCAAACCCCGTGACGCGTGCACGGCCGTATCGCCATCAAGCGTTATGTCATTTTAGAATTGCGATGCCATCATCGCGTGTGGCGTTTCTGTCAACGGACCCCTGAACCATGCGCGACCCCTACTGTTCGGTGCTGTCTCGAAATGCCGCAAGTACCGCTGACAGGTGTTTGTAAACAAGATGAATTCCGCGTTCGCGACGTACTGGTTTGGCGCGGGGCAACGGACTGCCTATTTTTATACCAAAGAGCTAATGAGCTGGAAGCGAAGCACAGCGTCGAGTGACGAGCAGACCGGCGGGTCGTACTCACCTACGGTTACCCGAACGCTTGCGGTTACAGCGCAATTTACACCTCGTTAGAAACGCGCCTCCCCCATGGCATCTATCCGAGCTCTCGACCATCTTGTGAATGACTCCATAACTTATATCCGTAACTGTATTCATGAGCGTGAGACGCGTGCGCGTGTATATATATAAATACATAAATGTTGAGACGAGCCCCCAGTGTCGGCGTGCATCTGTGCAAGATCACCGTGAAGGCAAGCGAGGCTAGCGTGCTCTAGTGCACGCTGGTTTCTTTAGCCGCTGGTATACGAGAAAGTGCGCGGGTTTATCTCAGACTTCTAGTAACGCAAGACGCGATTTGTGGATGTTTGGTCGACGTTTTAAACCGATAAGATCGTAGCTGCAGGGCGGTCTTATATATCGTATATATATATATA